TCAAGAGTTGTACATTATTAATGAAATGTCTCTTTTCCTCTACAGTTAAAATCATCCTGTTCTACGTGATATTCTACCTATGCTTGGCTGGAATTTTCATCGGGACCATTCAGGCACTGCTGCTCACATTAAGTAGCTACAAACCCACCTATCAGGACAGAGTCGCCCCGCCAGGTAAATATATTCTCCACCTTTTCACTTTGACCCTTTTTGAGTGATCTGCTGCAGTGAACGATATTTCAACAGCTAAAGCAAACAGCAGTGATGGAAAGGGCTCTATTACGCTGATTAGAACTGTTTTTACGCCATGTCTCTGTGATGATGTTGTTGTGGATGTGGGTATAGATGACTGTTGGGGTGGGCCTTTAAGCAGCTACTCTATCAGAAGTCTGTGTGACCTTAGATAGGTTCAGCCATTTTGTCCTTCACTCCTCTCAGCCAGTCAATGTTTCCCCCCTCAGGCTACAGGGGAACTGTTGTAGCTTACACCCATTGTGACTGAAATGCTTCGTGTGTGCTATGATTGTGTCACAGCCGACATGTTTCAAAATATATGTTTGAAACCACAGTTTGTAGTTTTATTATTTTAAGAAACTGATTTAGTGTAGCTAAGAGGCCTCTAAGCTTGTTTCTCTGGAAGAACTTCTAATCTTTAATCTTGGGAAAACACTGCTCCAGTCACACCACAAGCGTTTAGAAATTTCCTGCGAGCCTGGAGACGGCGCAGATTGTAAGTGCCCGGCCTGGTCTGGTTGTGCCAGTACTTGTTTGCACAGCACATGCTCTAGCCTTGGCGGTATTTTTAGCAGCCATTGTAAATGACTGGCTTCATGCACACAGGTTAGTTTGCCTGCCGTTTCGACTGTTGACAGTCAAAGAGCAGCCTGGCAGAGAAAGCAGTGTGGAGCGCTTTGAGCTGAAGTGAGTTTCCAGTAGTGGCAAGATAAAGGAAGCAGGGAGTAGTTTTTTTTTTTTTTTTTTTTTTTTTCTTCAGAGCTCAAGCCCGCCTCTCACTCTGGGGCTAAAAGTTTCCATTGTGAGAGAGACACACGTGAGAGTGGATGGGTGGGGGCAGGGGATTGGTGAACTTTCACAAGGCACCACTGAAATTCAAGTGACTAAATGTTAGTTCTCTGCCTCTGTTGCACAAACACCTCTGCTCATGCTCACAACTACAGCAGCAAAGGAACAGAAACAGCAGTGAGGCAGAGAAAAGGTTCACAAATGTCATGTTTCTTTTCACTCCTCTTACCCATCGCATTCTCTTCATGCCACGCCTCACTGAGGCCTTGTGCACAAGGTCTGTGGAAAATTACTGCTATAACGAGCTGACAGAGACCATCTGAGGAAATCCCCAAGACCCCACATTGTGTGTTGTCCTAAGATAATAGACCTCTGGGCTCTACAAAGAATAGCTCACGTGATATAGTGTAGCTTCTGTCAGCAACAGTTTTATATTGTGTTTGCTGCATGTAACTCTCTTAGAATCAATATTTCCTTTTATTTTGTAGCTTATCAAAACAATTTTGTGTTTTTCAGGTCTGTCACACACCCCACCCTCAGAAAAATCTGAAATTGCTTTCACTAAGTCTGATGAGAAGACATATGAGAAGTACATCAAAACCATGAATAAGATACTTCAAGTGTATGATGAAGAGCGCCAGCAAGATGTCTTGAAATATGAGGACTGTGGAGGCAAGTATAAGCCAATCATACAGGGATTGTCCTACTTTCTGGCTGATCCCTGATGGGTATGTAACAGCAGTCAATCAAGAGTTCATATTTATGTATTTACATCTATTAGCAGTAAATGCTCATAAGAAACATCAAAGTCTACAGAAATACTTTGAAAATATTTGACGTTCTTCTAATTTAATTTACATACTAGAAAGGATGTGTTTGAAAAAAGACTGCGGCTTTGTGTGTATGGTATGTGTACAGGTCTAATGTGTGTCTGTTTGGTACCATTTACAGACACTCCTCGGACATACATCGACCGTGGTAGTCTGGATAGTGACACAGGAATGAGGAAAGCGTGCCGTTTCCGCAGGTCTTGGCTAGGTAGCTGCTCAGGGGAGAGCGATAAAAGTTTTGGCTTCAGTGAGGGAAAGCCGTGCATCATTGTCAAGCTCAACAGGATTGTCAATTTCAAACCAAAGGTAGGTTCACTGCACACTTACAACATTGCAGCTTTTGTAATTATAGGTGCTATTCACACTGATAAGGGCACAATAAAAAAAAAACAATAAAACAGTCATAAACCAGTGACGTTTAAATAGGATTTAGCTAACAGAAGAAATGTCACATGAGACATGCACTGTATAGCAAACTGTTAACTGCTAATGTTACTCACCAACCTGATGACAAATCTGTTAGGCCGAAGGAAAGGAGCCACTTCTTTGTTTGATGTGTTATATTAGAAAACATTAGAAATTAAATGAAGCAGCTCAAAAACATTACTGGGAACGTAATTGAGTCGAATCCAGCAGCAATAAATCAGACATTGCTCACAAATGTAGCACACACTGTAGGTAAAGATACAGTACATACATTTTCAGCAGTTTTGTTCTCACTTGAATGCAGCAAAGTCACAGTATACTGAGAAATTGCAATGTAGATTGTTTGCTCTATGAAAACCTTAACGTGAGGTAGAACAGATGTGTGTGTAGGATGCTTTTTGTTATTTTCAAACTACTAGCTCTGGTTCTTCAACCGGTTCCGTTCAAGGTTCCTGGAACCTTGGTGCTATCTAACAAGCCTGTGTTTCTACCGGTTTTGAGAGGAGCCATTGTAATCAGATTGCGTCATTGACAGTGCACAATGCGCCTGTAGAATATGACACACACACTTCGGTTCCCAAGGAAAACCTTCCAACCTTCAGGTTTTTGGTTTCGTTTTGGTTGAAATGCTCCAAAAACTAGGTGCACAAACTGGAATGGAGCCGGTTCCCTGTTGGAGGAAAAGGCCTATGAATTTCTGAAGGTCATTCAGGTGTTGAATTTCTTTCTGAACATGCTTCATTTCTTTAAAGGGGAATACCAATTTTACACATCAAAGTCTGTTTACAGGTCTTGGGGCATACTACTGCATATATGAATAAAGACAGATGTCTTTAAGTGATGTCACTTGAGTGTGTAGACTACTTCTGTTAGTTTTATTTTAAACTTTCCATAGTGAGTCTGACTGTTATAGGAACAAAATTATATATCAGCGCAGTACTCTTAATCTGTAATCTAATAACATACCATAAGAGTGGCATTTGTATGCTCTCTGCAATCAAATGTCCCAAATTGTAACTGAATTACTCATCAGGATTTGCAAAACATTGCTTTTTACGGTACATTTGGAACCTTGCTGCACTGAATGGAAACTGAAACCACAATAAGTTGCAGCATATAAAACCACATGTTGTAGCAGCGACATGCTTGTGCTGCTTGCCACAATCAAACCTAACGGAACGACCTGCTCACAATGTTCATCAACCTGTCTCTTTTTGAAGGTTCCCGCTAGTAATCAGTCACTCCCAGAGGCTCTGCAGGGCAAAGTACAGCCCAACCTGATCCCCGTCTACTGCAAAAATAAGGTACGTCTGATATGACAGCATCTGGCCATGGTATATTAACATATATATATACTAGTAGAATAGTTGTCTCTAGTATTCACGCTGTAAAAAGGTTTTAAGTCAACTGTTGTGCTTGCAGAGAGAAGAGGATGAAGGCAAGATAGGAGAGATCAAGTACTTTGGCTTGGGCGAAGGCTTTCCTCTTCAGTACTACCCGTACTACGGAAAACTGGTGCATGGCCAGTACCTGCAGCCGCTGCTGGCCATTCAGTTTACCAACCTCACTATGGATCAGGAGCTGCGCATTGAGTGCAAAGCATATGGAGAAAACATCCAGTACAGTGAGAAAGACCGCTACCAAGGACGTTTTGATGTTAAGTTCACAATCACCTCGTGACCTCAGCCATGATGAGCACTCTCATTTTGAAACAAATAAAATGTAGAGAATAAAAGAGTTCAGATAAACACCACTAGTCTTTGAACATTCATAATATACAGGACCTACACTTAATCTGTGTGCTTTACACTAGCTTTTCTGTGTGTTTGTCGAGGGTTAGAATGTAAAATTCAAGAGTAGCAATAGCAAATATTTATTCTACTGTACATGAAAATATTCCTTGAGCCATGGGATGTGTTCATCTATTACCGTAAAACTGCGATTCCACTACTGACGTGTAGCGAGCTGTGTTTCTGTCCCCAAAGTATTTCATCCTAATGTGGTTTCTATATATTTTTGGAGTGTCCAGTGCTGTAGTCTAGTCCTGTTGTAATCTCTTCTGTCTTATGTCAGCTTTAGTGGTCCAAGGTGTGTGTGTGTGTGCGTGTGTTCGTGTCGGTGTGCAGGTGTTTATGTGAGCGTGTGGAGTGTGTGTCAATGTGCTCTGACTAACTGAAATACTAGCATGGTACTCTGAACCTTTAAGGCCCATGTATGAGTAAATGACTGCGCTCCATGGAATCTGTTTTTTTGTGTGTTTCTTTATCCTAGCTGTTCAAGTTGACTGCAAGGATCCATTTGTACACCTCTTCTTTGTTGGTCACCTTTAGCTGTAGGATATGGTTTAATGACATTTCTGTTTGATACTCTTACATCTGTTCATTCTTAATTCATAGTGTAGAGCTTTGTGGGTCCAGCCTAGAAGACTGTCACCTCCATGGAAACAGTGGCAACTCAGTGCTTTGAAATCTGTTTTGCTGGAGACATCACATGACGTGATGCTACTTACTATTGAATGTTTTAGCCATTTTCATGGTGGAAGAATTTTATATTTATGCAGTTGTACATTTTTTTCAAAGTTTAATGTATGAATCCAATACCAAAGTCGCTGGTCAAAAAGTTAGAGAATATCAGAGGCAATGCAGTATCCCATGTAATAAGATGTTTAGTTGGTGTGAAAATACTTAATTCAATGTTGAAGATCAAAACACTTGTCAGGAGTCTGCTCTTGTCACTTTATTTAATCTGCATAAGGCTGAAACAATAAACAAAAAAATGAGACAACTGTGAAGTCTTTGAATATGTAGTTACACATCTTTTCTCCTTTACATTCACCCGTCCAAAATCTTGAAGAAATACTGCACCTGTAGGAAAGAAATGAAAATGAATAACATCAAAGTATCAGCCAGTCCTCTCTGATATCAGAACAGTGACACTGAAAGAGTAAATTCTCTGTACAAGCCCTTTCTTGGCCACTGCGTCCCAGTCTTGGGAAAATGGCAGCTCAGTCAGTCACAGGCTAATGTTTAACAAGGAGGCATTTGTCCGAGCCACAGATCAGGAGTTTTCCTGAACAATGACGCTCGATGGGTCAGACCCCACTCCCTGCAAAACAATGGTTTTGTTTCAAATTCCTCTCCCATTCTTGTTCTCCTCAAAACCAGTGTGAGCTGAGGTTGCCCCGGCCCACAGAGCGGAGTCATGAGACTCGTCTAAAGACACGGCTTCACAGAGTCGGGGGTTTTGTTCTTGGCTAAATGCAAGGTAGTTATTTATGCATGCGCTGAAAAGACAATGAGGAAACCTATGTGCAGGATCAGAGGAACTACACAGATGAAATTATGTGGGTGTATTCTACGTTACAAGGAGGGTACAATGTGCTTGTGTCAGTGACAGCACCCACCTCCAGAACACCGTCTTCAGGGAGGTCTGTGCAGTGGACTGCGTTTTTCACTTTATCTTTGCCATAAAGTGCACGCAATGTGGTTGGGCGAAGATGCCGCGAAATTTCCTGTTGAATGAAAAACATGATGAAACACTGATAAATCATCTAACAAACAACATGGCACACTTTCCGAATACCGAGGCCCGGGTGGAATGGTGATGCAGTGGCGTTTTGAAACTGAACATCCTGTCCTGTTGTATGTTACTAAGACAATGTGATTACTCAGCAACTGGACATGTGATCCTGGAGAGGAAGTGACTAAACGCTGACACTTTTTTCACACATTTCTGCATGTAAGTAACATTAACCACAGCATAGTCTCAGCCTCCTGCTATAATACTGCCACAGGTTGATACTTTTCCTTCAGGGCTTACTAAATGGTCTCCATGTTCATATGACATATGCCAGATAACAGTTTCCATACTACCCCCTTCTTAGTGATGTTGGAAAACAACACAATTTCCACACCTTTAAATAGTTTCTATATCACTGTACACAGCAAATACATTATTTAGACCCTATGTTCTCCCTTTTACTGCTTTCCTGCAGGCAGGAGCTTCATCTTGAGTGTCTGTCTATTTCAATTCAACATCAGACACTCCCAAGGTCGGAGCCGGGCTCTATTGCCCTTTGCTACTCGGTGCCTCCAGGAAATGCAACCCTCCCACAGGGTCCGCCATCGGGGGAGGGACAATATGTGAATAATTACTTCACCAAGAGGACTGTTGGCTCTAAAGGAATGCAGAAGTTATATATAACATATAGTACTCATGTAGATACTGAGGCAGCAGGATCAACATCAAAGCAAATCTACTTACAACGGATCAAAAGTAACCAATGTAACTGAACTGTGTCCTTTTTACATTCACACTGCTGAAGGTTTGTTTCGCCTCACATTTTGTGGAGAAAAGAATCTGACTGTGTCTTCCAGCAGGGAAACATTTCCTATGACAAGTTCTTTATCCTCCTGTGGTTTATGAGAGCGCAGACAAAAGGCAGGAACAAGTTTTAAGGTCATCAATCAACCCAGCCTTCTCTTTCGAGCCATTCATCGTTAAAACAAAAACCTCGTGGAAAACAAGTCTCCTGGTTGAAATGATTCTACTACACAACACTGAATTGACTATGAAAGAAAAAACATGTTGCAAGGATCCTGGGAACTGTGGATCACCCGAGTTACAATTTTGCTTAGAATGAATTATTATTATATATTATATTAGATTATTATAGAAAAATCACAGAAAGGGTTAGACAAGAGTACAAGAAATGATTCAAACAAATAAACTAAACACTGTATTTCACTGTGCTGGCACATATTAGGTCATTCAAGAGGACCAACAAATGCAACAGCACCTACTGGCTGGCGGGTTTCAGTCAATCACCTCGATCTCCTACAGTCAGGGTAACCACACTAGGAGCTGGGCTGAAGGGGGGGCAGTGTTGGTCTGTTGGTCCAGAGACCGAAATATCTTCAGACAATAAATCCTGCTTGCTTTGGTGATCCTCTAACACCAGCATCCACGAGGTCAACATTTTTAATTTGTCCAAAACTTTGGTTTATGATCAAATACTAGTGGACGATTTGATGACATTCCCATCAGCCCCAGCTGTACTCTGGGTTTGGTGCTAATTAGGCCAACATGCTAAAGCAAGATGGTGATGATGGTAAACATAATACCTGCTAGTACTAATAGCAGCTAGTGTGTTAGTATTGTCACCGCATGTTAGCATGCCGAGGTTAGCATTTAGCTTAAAGCACTGTAACAGAGCTGTTAGAGTGGCTGTAAACTTCTCCTGTAGCTTCTCCTTTCAGCCAATTCAGTGTCAGTATGGGTGACAAGAGGCGAGGTGCCATGTTTTAAACTGTTAGCCTAGCAAATGTCTTGTGATAAATGATGTCATTGCTAGGCAAATTTAATTAAGACTACAGGAGGAGTTCCACAAATAAACGTTGAAAATTAAAAACCAGTTATTATCGGCTAAGCTGTAACAGTGCTTCTGATTTGTATAATTAAAATCATCAATCAGATTGTATCAGTCAGAAGAGAGGTGGACAAGAAGAAAGAATAGCAGGAACCCAAATATGGCTGCTAAGCTGTGAAATTATCATTGTCAGTGAAGTAAAACATCTGTATGTTGTGGGTGTGCATCTGGAAACTAAATACAGAAGCCTGTGCATAACTATCTGTCCAATGGCCCTGATCAGGCAGTAGCTTCTCATGTCTCCCAGGAGGCTAAAGCTGAAGATGGCAAAGGGGGAATTAAGGGAGATTTACTTAGTGATAAAAAGAATTCTTTGCAGAGCACTGCTCTCTGTAATTGCGTTAGTTACCCATGAGTGACCTGCAGTCAGAGATTAATTTGATTTTAATGAGTCTCCCAGTTTGCTGGACTGATGTTCACGTAATGGCTGCTGGCTTTTGTGGACAGTAATGGCAGGGGCGGAGTGACCCGGCCGTAACGTGACCGTCCAGCAATCGAAAAGTCTCATGTCTGATCCTTCATGCGCCGCTGACTGTGCGACCCTGCTGCAGCGAGCCAGACAGAAGGCTCACTTCATTACCGGAGGAGTCTGCTAAACTTATTCTCAGCACTTACACAACATACAAATACAGTACACACATTTACATCCATCAGTGAAGGCCAACAACTGCTCAGATTCTACTCAGAACATTTTTGCCACATTTAGCTTGGTGGAAAAAAGGCTTTTGAAAGAGGCTTTTCAATTTGAGGAAAACAGCCCAAAGTGTGTTTTTATCTCTGCACTTCACTAAATAAGACATCACAGGGATTATTGTATGTCATTTTAGGAAATTAAGCAACATTTTCTAATTCCACATAATACAACGAGGATGGGGTGTATTTATTATTTTTAATACAACAAAACAGTCTTAAAGGAAATCCAAAAATCTGAGTAATACACGTCTTGCCATAACATGTACATTTTAAAAATGTCTGTGTTTTACAAATGGCTCATAGAGCATTCTTACTGATAACAAAGATGTCTAACCTCAGCCTTAAGTTTGTAACTGAGTTACTAACTAATAACTTATTTTGTTTTATCTTATCATGGAAAGCTTTATTGTTTTCATGACTTTGTACTGCCATTTATTCTCTTACTACTATCACTACTACAATTACTACTACTGTCAGTACATTGCCTCTTTCATTTTTAGTCCACATAAAGATTAAACAGATAAAGGAAGAAAAGAACCAAAGCCTAGTTTCTATTATTTACTTACTCTGTTATTCTATGAATTTAATTATCCTTCTCTTTGTGTGAAGCATGAAGGAACTGCAGGCTTTCATTTTGTATTAAAACCTTGTGTTGTCCTTTATTCCATGTAATGGCTACTGATGCTACAGAGCTTGAAAGGAACAATGCCAATCTCTTGTAACCATATACATCATACAACACATTATTGGTTTAAAAACAAAAAAAATACATTAACTTGTGTAATCAGGGTACATTTCTTTTCTACTATCTGTATCTTTTGAAGATACTACACTGCACTAAATATGGCATAGTGGTCACCAGGGACAACTGACACCTTTCTCTACAAACGCATTACATAGATGGGTCAAAAATCAATAGGAAAAGCATATTTTTAACCGCCATGATGCAGGAATAGTAGCCTCATGTAACAGGACACCCAAACCTATTTGATCATCTCTTACACTCATCATCTACTGTCAGACAAAGTGAGGCAGCACAGCATGTTGTGACCACCACACACTGCTGGTGTGTAGTGGGGGGCACTGATGATTTATTAAGCTGCTGATTCAAAGGGGAAGAATATACTTACAGATTATAGAAGAAAATAATACTGTATGGAAGAGGGTAGAGCGTACAGGCTGGGGTCAGGACTGCCTAACAGAGGACCGTTGTGTCTGTCCACTCTGATATCAGGACACATCACAAGACAGAGCACAATCTCATGACTGTGTGAGTGCAATGCAGGGCAGTTCACGGGTGTGGAGGTGTGAATACATGGCGGCCCTTAATGGCAATATATGACGCCTAGTTAAAGGCGCCATATATCTTGTGTAATATATTTAGATGTTTCTGCTCTCTTCTGTGAGGTGATATTACAGTTAAATGTATCTCCCATCAACTCTAATATGATAAAGTGTGTTTTTGTGTCACTTGATGCAGCCATTCAGCTGTACGGTCATGTGTTTGTTCACACAAGACCTGTGCTGTTTATAGATTAGTCTTAAGTCAACTGGAATTAATCAATAGCCCTTAACTATTAATAAACATTCTGACCTCTTCATACAGTCTGGTTGGTCCAGTCCAATCTGTCAGCCTGATAATGACATCTGGAATGTCTTTACACGCTGCTTTTGACTAGAAAATGTACTGTACTTTGGTACTTAGCAGAACAATGTTACATGGACATACACATGCCCTGTCGGTGACCTCATCAGCTCACCTCAAACTCTCCCATCGACAACATTTATTTCTCTGAGACCTCAGTGCTGCTGTGACCTTCCATTTATCTTGTGTATCAAGTGACTGGACTGCACTGGAGAGTAGGAGTGCAAATGTTTAGGTGATTCGTCAGACAATACTGAGGTGAGTCCGAGGTCAGGGAGTGATGAAACAGCTTGACCTGCCAGTTAGTCAGTAAAGTCTGAAGCAATCAAAGAAGTCCAGTCCAGTCTGCAACTTATACAAGAGCATATACGCTGAGAATGGACTTTACAGTGAAGTAGGAGACATCTTTAGAAATGAACCAAATGTGTAATTCTTAATGAGGTAGAAGTAGATGTAGATGCCTTTTTATGGATTTCAATGCGGAAAAAACATATCAGACATACATTATTGTTCCAAGTTTGTCTTAATACATGTCTGAAGGGGCTCTTTAAACGTAAAATAGTTATTTATGAAAAATAGTCCAGGGCAATTCGCTGTTATAGTATATTTCATACTATTAGTATAATTTGTGGACTATTCATTATGCTTTTTGTCATTTTTCTACAAAGTAAACGTATGCTTTAGGGATAATTTGAAATACGATACAATCATATAAACATTTTGCACACGGGGTCCTCAAGTGTTGCAAGTAATAAACCAAACCGGAAGCAGATCTGGGGAGGGTAACTAATAAAATAACAGAGGGCGGTTGCAAAGCCTAATTACTTTGGCATCAATGAGCAGTGGTGTAGTGTCATGTGACCTGGAAATCATTAGCCAATCACTAACCCCTTTCCTGCTCTGTGGCTGCATTGTCAGTAACATTTTTACAGTAGCCCGGAAGCACTGATAAGTTACGGACATAAAGCATAGCAAACAATTCAATGAATTAAATAAAACAACCAGAAAATGACAAGGCATAAAAAAGCTCAACTATTTGTAACAAGATTGACAGCTGAGTCATGGACAACTGAGTTGAGATCTATCATTTTTGTGGTCACTAAACAGTGACTGGAGGCAGAGCGTCTTATCATTAGATTTCACATCACGCACCAGCACAGCCCTGCAGCACTGCTTCCACAGCACCCACGGACACACACACACATGCAATGTTCACACACTCGCTCACACTCTTTTATCTAATCACATAAGCTCTTTACAATGTACACTTAGTAAGGGCTAAATCAACATTCTCCAGTTCATCACATCATCTCATTCAGGATTCCTTAAAACCAACAGGTGTGTATTACTTTTCATGGGATCAACTCTGAAACAAAATATTGAGCTTGATTTAAAAATATGGGGCTTTGTCAGTCATCTGGCTGCCAGCTGCCAGGCTTACTGACTTCTCAGCAGATGTGTTCCAGACTGAGATCACATAGTAAAAACTAAACTTTAGCCAGATTTAACCACGCTTACAAAAGATACAAGAGAGACAGAGAGTGCCACAAAACTGGCTGCGTTGGCACCGCTGTGCTCTGTTCAGGATAAAACGTACACACTTTAATTTATAGGAAAAATATTAGAGGCAACAAAATGCAATTAAATATTAGAACCTTCAAGAGGGTATGATTTATTATTGTTATTATTATTATCATCATTATAATTTATTAGCTAGGTGTACCGAGTAACATGTGTCTTCTGTTGCTGGTCTTTGATAACAAGGGCATTTGAAAAACTCAGTCCAAAAGAAGGATGATGGACAATTATTTGCACATGACATATTGATTTTCACCACATTTCACCCAATTATTTTGACATTTTACTTGTCAGAGAGGCTTCTAGAATAGAATCTACTGAGGAAATACCATAGCAAATCACACTGAACATTATTTAACTCACTGGATCAGCGGGCCCACAGAATTCCCTGAATGACTGCGGTGCGTTGGTGCCATGGATCTCCAGGACCATGCAGGGTCCAGAACACAGCTCGGTCACCATACTCTGCAGGGAGAGAGCGGAAATACAGTCAAAACTGGAATAATTAATTTGACTCCTTTTTACCCTAATGAAGAATTATACTGATAATGTTAATACTCAATGACTCAACTCCATACATGTCGTTGACTTTCATCAAATTTCCCCCAACTATTGACACAACAACAACTTTTACTCATCAGACACTTTTCTAGATCTTTACAAAAGACTGAGCAGTGTTTGTGTCAACATCAAAAGTAACACTTGACAGGCCTATGATGGAGGTACTGGCTATGATGGCACAACAATACAGTGTTTCTACTCACAGGATACTCGGTGACAACACCTTTGTAAACTTCATAGAACTCTTCTGCATTTGCCCTGTCCACGTTGAACTGTGAAAAGGAAATGTACTCATGAAAAACAAGTACAAAAATGATTGCTTCATAATGGAATACAGATATTGCACTCTGGAAAATAAAACATGACAGCAGTAGAGGATACAATGAAGAAATTTTCCTTAATCAAATGGAAATACTTCACTTAGTGTATGAGCTGACAGCAGCTCCATTATTGACCTTTTGTAGTTTAAATCAAAAATGACTAACCATTATTCAGGATATGAAATCATATCCTTAAAGGCACTGCTGAATGTGCACTGACTTTATTCCCATTAATGCACAACACGCTCTGCATGTGGCTACAGTGATAAAACCCTGATTGATTTATTTTTTTCCTACGGCCCAGAATCACATCTGATGTTAAACGAATGGACTGTGAGAGGTCACTGTTTGCAGCACCGAGTTATGAGGTCAGACTGTGTCAGAAAAAGTCAATACAGTGCATGTATTGGTTACACGAGTATAGCTAAGATAAATGGGCATATGAGCAAAAAACTAATATTCTTAGAAAACTAGTCTGCATTAGCTTAGTGAAAGGACAGCAAGTACAGCACATGTATGACAGACTCTACAAGACCATAGCATAAGCAATTATTAAACATTTACCATCTGAAGGGCTGAGATTTCAAATCCAGCAGCAGATATGGAGTTTAGGATCTTGCCCGTCAGACCTGCAAACACATCAAAGCTGTTCATATCTATGAGCTTTTATGATCCTTGGGTTTACACAGATTGACAAGAGAGGTGTTTAGTGCTACAATAAACTCTTTAATGTGACACTAACCAAAGAACTTGTGTAGCAGCAGTCACTGTTAAGTTAATATTAAATGACTAGAGGTATATCATTGAATGTGCTACAAAGCCATCATAATCCTCCTACTCAGACATAAATTTTATCTTATGTTGCAACGACCTCAGATTGTAGTGTGTCCTTCGGACAAACAACTGTGAGATCATCTTACAGTCCTGTCTATTGGAGGAGAGGAGACATTATTTTCGTCTGCACAATCAACACTTTAGAGAGCGAGATACAGAGCTGTACCTCTTGTCACTGTGGCTGTACATTATTGTGAAAATGGTAGAACCACAGTGACAAAGGTGCAACAGTGACAGTGAAGGTCAGACTGCAGCAGACACACATAATTGAAAGATGGCGCCAGTCTTGTAATCTCAGTCTGACATCCTGATAAAAAAGTAGCCTGTGTACTCAGGATACAAGCTGTCTACATTTTCCATTCATTCTACGAGCTGCTGTGTGTATTTACCAGGCGCCACAGCGAGTGCTGATGAATTTCTCTCTTATTTGGTAAATCTTTCAGTCACGGTCCAGTTTTGTGTGTATTAGGTGGGTAACCACCCCCTGAGTCCTCTGTGCCCTCCCCAGGCAGCCGCCAGCAGCCTGCCTAGGATAGGCACACACTCAGCCCAGCTCCCAAAAGCAGCTGGTGCTGTTGCTAGGAGATCCTATTCTGGGTGCCTGGCAACAGAAGCTTCTCTATTCCAGTCATGTCTGAGTGCATTTTCAGTCACAACGTCCTTTGTCACCGCTGTGATTGGCTTGTGCCCTGCACACGTAGCTGTAGTGTAATTTGGCCTCTTAAGTGGTCTTCAAGGAAAATCAAAGCAAGCTTTTTGACTCTATTTGTCTTTGAACTGACTGAAAAATCCCACTTTGTGCTCAACAGGCCAAGCCCCTCAGACTGGGTTACTATTTTTAGTTCAGACCAAAGGTGTCACCTAACATATGGGGGTAAGCATTGTGTTGTTACAGTACTTTTTACTGATGAAATCCAAAACCCTTGCTATAAGGCAAGATTAACTGAAAATACAAAGCCAGAATTATTCCTATAAGCTCAGTTTGTGCTTTGTGTTGCTGTAGGACTTTGTACAGGACTATTCTAATCAAAAATGGACTGAAAATGTACGGCAGATGGACACCAGACCAGTCAAGAAATAATTAAAAGTGACTTGGAAGATGACGATACTCACCTTAAATTTCCTCAGAAATTGATTTGGTTGGGTATACAGAATGAATAGCTCTTTAAGTCAACAATACAGTGCTGAACGGCTGTGGCTGTTTGATTTGGAACAATAACAGGCAGCTGGTTACAGCCCTCATTTTATAACGACGTTAAGAAAACTAAGAGAGACAAAAGTAGATTTTAATTTCACATAAACTGACACACCCTAAATAACAACACCCCTTGTGTGTACTGTCTATAATAAATGATAACCATCATACTGGTATTAATTTACATATCCATACAAGATATTTGTGAGTGCAAGGGTTGCTCAACTATGCCCTCCAGCAAAACAAAGCATTCCTGAGTTTACACTGGTTTTTAATGGGTCCTCTCTCATAGACCTTTCTCACGGCAAACACTTCAACTTGTCATAGCAGGAAAAGCACAGGTGTAACTACGGTAATAACATTATTGATGGCGTCATTCCAGTTAGGTGTGGCAGAGGGTTATACCAGTGAGCAGCATGCACAGTCCCAGGATCCTGGCACATCTGGATATCATACAGGCATTATTAATGAGAAAGGTCTACACACTGGGAATAAAATAACCTTCAACACATAAATACTATTAATGGTATTATATCTGCTGAGTCCTCCTAATTATGTGGCTTCCTTTCTGATGTCCCCTTTGAATAAACACTGCAAGCAATGATTTGCATCTCAAAATGTCATCTCAGCTTACAGTGTGCCTACGTGTGTGTGCCTGGTACTTTTTGTTTGTGGAAAAAAAGAGAGGGTTCCATGACGTTATGTAGGCAAGTGTTTTAGCAGCACTGTTAGGATATGCTTTGAGCTAAATGCTAAGTTCAGCATGCTAACATGCTCAAAATGACAACATGTTGATGCTTAACACACATTATGTTTACCATAATCACCATCTTGCAGTTGAGGCTGATGGGAATGTCATTAGTTGCAGGTATTTGGTTATAAATAAAAGTAGTGGGGAAAATTTGACGATGTTAGTGCAAGAGGAAGAGTCACCACTATCGTCAGGTCAGCACTGAAAGCGAGAGCACAAATACATCTAGTGGAAACTAGGTATAAACCTGGTCCAAATCAGATACCACAGCAATTACTACTAGGTAAATTAATATGGGACCATGGTGAGCTTGTTTATTCTAATGAACTACGTTTGGGCGTATATGTCCAGAACAACCAGTCCAGGTCTCTACTCAGTCAACAACTGCTCTGTGTGCATACTTCAGCCCTGTCCGGAGAATTTCACATTTCACAGGTCAGAGCTCTAGTGGCATGCTCCCTGAACAGGGATCAGGGCAGGGATTTGGAAAAATCCAAAGCCAAATTTGGTAACCGTGTAGTGGCTTTGTGTAACACAAACACATTAAGCGCCATAGGCAGAAGGGAAAAACTATTTTAAAATTCAGTGGTATTGCACCTGCATAATTCATGGATGTATCAACAGACAAGGATAGATTCATTAATGATGTAAATATCTGTTAGCTGCAAATAGACAGGTACATGTTCCCTACCTTCTGATATGGCATGAGGTTTGATGATGCAGCATGTGCAGTCTGTATAGAGGGCTGTATTAGAGGGGCCGTGGCCAATTGTGGATGGGAAAAAAAACTCAAGCTCCTAATAAAACAAACAGAACAAAAACAATTTGGAGTGCATCATCATTTCCAAGTATGTGGAGCATATGTCTGCACATATGAACATGAATAGAGCTAACAGGCTAGCTTCACAGCCTTACTCTTGCTGCTGCAGCAATTGAGTCAGAGCCATGTCCAACATTTTTGATGCCATCTGTTCCAAACTGGGCACGGACACTCTGCGGTGCCTCCTTCCGCGCCACAGTGGAGTCTGCAGGTCCCAGGAGCCTCCTCCAGATAGACATGGCCTCATCACCCATCAGCTCCATGGCAACCACAGGGCCCGAGGACACAAACTGCACCAGGTTACTGCAAAATGAAGGAGCGACGATGGAATAACTCATGCATACAAATGGAATTCCTACCAGCAGTAGCTTAGCTGTGTTAAATATGTTTAAATGTCACTACAGTGCCATTATGATTATTGTCACAGGTTCTGTTAATGATGGCTGGCTACCAGAAGTGTTCTCTGCAGGCTCACACCTGCTCAGAACTGGCAAATCATTTAAAGGCACTCACTTGAAGAAAGGCTTTGACTGATGTTCCACATAAAAGTCTGCCGCTTGGCTCCTGTAATGTAAGGAAACCATAAACCATGAAGTTAATTATCTCAGGTATTCAGTGTGAACTCAATGTGCCAAACTACGGACAAAAACATTTATAGAGGTCAATAATATTTATATCTTCTTTCTCTCCAAAGTAAAAGGTAACTGTGAGGAAGTGGTCCTTTTTGGTGTGTGTGATTTTAGTTTCTTAATTGTTTGGGGCGAAGACAATGGTTCTAAGGTGAGTACTGAAATTAGATTTTACTACAACCACTGAGGACACTTACAGTTACAGTTACACAGTTAGACACGTACACATTTTAGGCAGATTTTAGAACTTTAATAACCAGTATTTTTTCATCAGGATTTTATTACTGGCAATGTGGAGAAAGTTTTGATACTGATGACCTTCATATTGCATATAGACAGCATTAAATAAAGGCTTCTTCTGCATTTCCCCCCAGAGTTGTATTCCTTGCTTTGAAACATTTTGAAAAAAATTCCAGTAAGTATAATTGAACAGTCACCTGATTAAATGAAATAGTTTTTGGTTGGTTTTTGAGAGGGGCGAGGGTGCATTGTTGTGACCTTCGTATTTCAAGAATCCTGCCTATAGCACAGAATTCAATCTTTCATATGTTTTCAAGTCATTTTAATACTGGTCAGATCCTTTAAAATACCACAGCGTACAAACACTAGTACAAGTGAAAGTCCTGTATTAAAAATACCCTAAGAATCAAATGTATAAGACAAAATTGCTCATTATACTCTTATTGCTGTATCTGAGACTGAGATGGGTTTGATAATACAATTGCACCATGAACGAGCACCTGATAAAACCGTTAATTAAATAGCAACCTCGTCTGCCACTTTGCACGCCATATGTTCCTAATGTGTGAGAGAAAGCAGAGCCATCCATCTGTTTGTGTGAGGACACTGGCACCAAACAGCCTGTGTTTCCCTCTTTGACAAGAGTTGGTCTGATACATTATCACAGTATCATTAGACACTCCTTTGACATTACCACGTAAGCTTTGTCATTTTGGCTTTGGTCACAATCAGGTTGGAGGAGTATATCAGTTCAAGGACATCTCCGATCTTGGTAACAACATCTGGCTTTATCAAAGCAAGAGTTCTGGAAGAATGGAGACAAAAGTGAAACATTGTGATTGTGTCATTAAGATTAGACACTGTAACAAAAACACTTTCATGCTTTTATTAAAATGGTTTGAGATGTGTTTATGATGTGCAGGGCTGAGTATTCTACCTCCTTATGCATTGGGTAGCAAGCCAATTGTGTCCATAGCACAGAGAAAAACCAAAGGTTGGTGTACTTGGTCAGTCTTTTTTATTTATTCCATAAATGGTCAAAATAAATAAAATAAGTTTGTCACTTATATTTTGGGAAGAAAAATGTTTTTTGGTGTCTGTTCCAAAAATGAATATATCACAAATAAAAAATGTATTTATCAAGTTAGTCAAACACACAACCAAAGTCATAATGTGTGTTTTTGTGTTAACAAATTTAACTGACAGCAGTCTGCTTTATAATCATCCAATAACTAACAACAATATAAATGCAGATGACATACATACATAACATGCTACACAAATGTATGACATAAATGATCTAACACCTGCAATTTCTTTTACCATAATTCCAACCACAAACCATACTGAGGGCTGTGAGCAATCCTACACAGTATTTTTAAATTGTCTAAAAGTAATGTTAAAATTAAGATTATGAGCCACAGCTATGGGGATTATTTGCAAGATAAAGCTGTAAGGCATGTACAGTAACCGGAGAGGATTATGCAGACACAATCATACCTTTCTTTTTTGCTGCCGAGTTTGTTTGCTGTGTACTGATCTCCATAGTCAATCAGATTAAGCTGTCGTGAGAACACATTCACTCGATTCCCAACGAACAGGTCCTCAGGATGGAGGTCATCATATTTGGTCCTTCTCAAAAATATTCGCTGGTTTTTTACATCAAACTGAAAATAAAAACAAACAAAATTAAAAAGAACAGACTTAAGCAGTTCATAATCAGGGCCCATTTTTTCAGATGATTATTGTAATTGGCAATTCTTTGACATAAAAATACATAAACAGAATAAAAATCTTGTCCAAGAAGTCTCTTTAAATATTCAAAGCGTGGGGCTAAAAATATTGATAAATTCTAACAGTAGTCTTTCCTTTATGAGCAGCCAAATAAAGCTGAAGCATCCAATGCAACAACATATTTAAAGAATATCAACTGCAGTAGTAAATGCTTACCATTTCCACTGAGCCATCTTTAGGGTAGTAGAACAGTTGGTAGCGCCGCAGGAGTGCTGCAGTAGGGTCATACCACTCGGTAAGAAAGGCGTAACGATCCTCCTGATAAAGCCAAGGAATAACCCATACTGAGCTTTAAAAAGGTCATAAGGATATTATAATCTTGCATGACATCAAAATTGATTTGTGTAGGTCTTAATCCCTGACATAAATGCAAATGGTTTTAAATTAATCCTAAATGAGAAAAAGTAAACACTGATGAGTAAGAGACCAAATTATTAAAGTAGATCTTTTTATGTATTTGATCCTATTAACTACAAACTCAAATGTACTTCATATCACTGTTAACTATTTTTGCTTTAGTGTTTCAGATGTTTCCAGATCATGTCTTTCTACTAGCCAGCAAATGTTTCGATTATGATAAAAACTTGCAGCGACTTTAAACATGCTTGAGAGGCAATGCAACACAGTGAACATCAGTGTTAATTTTGCAGAGTAGTGCAGTGAAAAATGTTCAAATCTTACTGTCACCTGCACAACCCCACAACACTAATGTGACAAAAATAAATGTAGAATTGAGCATCATCGTGTTGGGATTACCTAACCTCATAATATTTCACTGCAAGCTAATTTAAATCATCCAGAAACACCAGGGTCTTTGAAGAGTTGAGTTTAGTCACATGGCAGACCGTGGTTAGGTAGGTTTTCCACATTTAGCAAGTCTGGGTTCTTACAAATTCAATGTTAAAGGTGTCAGGAACTTTCTGGTTAGCATGGCAGCTAATTTAAAAGCAGCGAAGTTGTATTAAATGACAGTGACTAACAATTAAGAGTCATTAATATCAACATTTTAATGTGTCGATAGGTCTGATTCTATTCATCTTGTCAACCAAAAAGGATTTAGAGCTCAAAAGGCAGTGGACACTAATAAATGCAATTGACTGTCTCAAGTTAATTTATCAGTTTGGCTATAAAAAAAAACCAAAACACTTATAACTTATTACTTATTACTAAAGTGGCAGCTCATTTGTTAGCACTGTCACCTCACAGTAACGGGAGCCGGTGCTTGACTTCCAGCATTGTCTGTCCGGTTTCCTCCCACAGTCTAAAGCTATACAAGTGAGGTGAATGGAAGACGTGATCCTGCCCCTACTACTGTGTGTGTGTGTGTGTGTGTGTGTATAAAGGACATGTCCAAGGTGTTCCTTGTCTTCTGCACATAGTTAACTTATAAAAGCTCCAGCCTGTGACCCTGACTGAGTAGGCAAAGAGAATAAACAACCTCTTCCTTCTGCTCTACAGAAATGTAAGTAAAATGTGTTGGATTAAATAATCTTATCTAACGAATCATCCAGGAACTATTTGTGAACACAAACACTGAGCACTGATATTGGAGACATGTTTTAACTATCTTATCTAGTTTACCCACTATCACTATCAGTGCTCTTGTGCATAAGGGCAGAACAGGTTCTTACTGACACAGCAACCTACTGCTATGTTCTGTGTTTTAAAGTGATTTATTTAAACAATTATCATTAAAGTAACTGTTAATATTAGTCAACAAGCTTGAATCCAGGCTGAGAAACCAGGACTTCCTCACAGTAAAAGTCAAAATGTATTAACCGCCTAGCCCCAGTTTGTGCCTTTCATGTATTAACACAAAGCGAACACCCAACTTAGCATAACTAGCTAACGTTACACAGAACATGGAAACACGTTACACCGTTATAAACTCTTTATACTGACGTCAGACTTAGTTCACCGGTAACGCTATGCTAGTACTGGAACTGTAACGTTACATTACGTTACCAACTAACGTTAACGTAATGTAACGTTACTTACTTTAGCTAGTCAATGCTTAACGTTACATAACGTGAGTTACTGGACATTGGATAGTTAGTTACCAGCAGTTATTGTTGTTGTAAATGTGACTTTAAGTCATATATTAACGTTACTTACTCTGGTAACTCTAAAATGCCAACGTTAATAAAACCCCTTTACTCAGACTAAAACAATAAATGTTTAACGGTAGTTCGTAACGTTAACTTATGCTAACTGTTATCTTGTGTTTGCTATGCTAACGTTAGCAAACAACTATCCGTTTGGTCGGTTGAAGAGATGGAGGTCAATGGTGAAGACTTTTTAATTAACGAAATGAGTTCGCGTTATTGTTATCGAACGGGGACATTTTAACTCACCATTTTTGACAAATGAACAAATGCTACATGTCCCAGTGCTGTCTTCAGCTAGCAAACATTAGCTGTCCCGGGCTATGTTTCGTTTCTATAGTAACTGTAGTGACAAGCCAAGGTGCGTTCAGGTGCATTCACCTAACGGTTTACATGGGACTCGTTTCTTGCTATAGCAAGAAAAGTTAACCACTTCAGTCAGATTTCAAAAATAATATGAAGTATACAACATAAAATATAGTGTGTTTTCACACACGTCAGCGTCACCACCCCAATAGGTAGGCAAACGTGAATATGAATATAATATGAGGGTAGGTGAGAGGGGTAAACGTTGATATTTCGTAAAAACTGCAAAATTACATGATACTGTTAGCTTAGTTCAAGTGGCCATTTTACATTTCAGGGTAAAAAATTACAAGAACTGATTGATTCAGGTGCTGGGCTGAGCGTATATATAACACCTTCTGAGTCTACCTATCTGCGCTGTTATTGTTTTATGCGCCATCTAGTGGTGATATTGTGGAGGTCGGAATCACCCCGATCTGTCAAATTTCGAGCGGCTTTAAACACAACGTTTGACTCTTCTCTGTCACCCGGAACAACAACAGTCTGAAAAGTGACACGGAGTATTTCATGTTTATCTGAACTATTTTAATTTAGGTTGTAGCGTTAGGTTTTTGTTTTTTTTTAAAGCAGGCTATGTAAACAGTTGTATGCCCTCTCTTACGTATGCGTTTAGAGTGAACAGGACATAACTTCAGTGCCTCTTAAAACTGTTCTCCATGGGTTCCCCTGCTCGTCTGAGACCTTACATGAATGATAATGGACCATTAATCTTAGATGGCGGACTAGCAACTGAACTGGAAGCGCAAGGAGCTCATTTACAGGTAACACATAAAAAAACTACAATTACCTGATTCACTGCATTAACTCTCTCTCTATTCTATCAGTCAGCATTGGTTCCTCAGTTAAATTGTCATGTGCCAGCACATATGCTACATTGCACAGCTTCATGTAATGAGAGCCAATGAACTGTACATTTTACCAGCTAAGAGCAGACATAGTTACATCTTAACCGTGTGGTTTAAATGGAGCATAATATCCCAAATATTCAAGCTGGACATGGGGAATTTATCTAAATGTAACTTATGTGGGGGTGCTTTTATGAACAACACTGAAACTAACTGACTCATTGACCATGATCTTGGGTCACATGATATAACACTGGATATCAGACAGTTAAAATTAATTTTTACCCTGTAGGCCTAATAACTGTGTTTCCATGGTAACAATCAATGACAGTGGTTAGCAACTGATGAAAAAAAAAGCATGACTTATAATTTGTTGTTTGATGATAGTGTGGTGAAATTAACAGTGGGAATGGCAGTGGTGGCAGATGTATTCACTTAAATAAAGTAAACCAAAAGTAACAATACCAATACCACCATTTTCTGTATTTCTCAATAATATGAATATACTGCTTATATTTTTATGTTAATATTTTGGAACAGAAGAAAAATAAAGCAAATAAATCTTAATTCAAAGGTGGTTCACTTATAAAAAATATATATTATAATTATAATTCCATGTCTTGGTCCATTTGTCCAAGACATTTTATTAGTACAAGTACAGTAGAAGTAAACATCTTATTGGAGAAACTGAGATAAGTATTTCTCTCACAGTCAAACACATCCAGATTTTAAAATCTAAAACTGAAATGTGTGTGTGTGTGTGTGTGTGTGTGTGTGTGTGTGTGTGTGTGTGTGTGTGTGTGTGTGTGTGTGTGTGTCTCACACACGTAGGGTGATCCTTTGTGGAGCGCCAGGCTTTTGCATACTAATCCCCAGGCCGTACGAGATGCTCATTACAGGTAGGTCCATGCAAAATATTCCAGCTGCCTGATTAGTCGATTAATCGATTGGTCGATTGAAAGAGAATTAACTACTATTTTGATCATCTTTAAGGTTATTTTCAAGTAAATATGCCAATCATTCTCCAGTTCCAGTATCTTTATAGATATATAGATAAACAACTCTAGACATGAGTTTTTAAAAATGGGACCACAGTTCATAGATGTGATGTATCAACAGGTTTCTCCTCAGTGGGGCTGATGTCATCACAACAGCTACATATCAGGCCAGTGTTACAGGATTCATCAATCACCTGGACCTAAGCTCTGAAGGCGCCAGAGAGCTGCTAATGTCTGGAGTTCAACTGGCCAAAGAGACGGTAGAGAGATTTGTCTCTGACAGTCGTCCAGCAGGTACAGACATATCCTTGATATTACTGAAGGTGTGAAACACTGTCTTTATGATGCTATTATATTGGGTTTATTCATTTGTTTATAAGGGCAGAGATGTCCCTTGGTGGCTGGCTCTGTTGGACCGTACGGGGCCTTTCTGCTCAACGGCTCCGAGTACACAGGGGCTTATGCAGAGGATATGACTGTTGAAGTGAGTGGCCCCCAGCTACTCACATTGGTTACATAAGAAGTAATTACTCATGCTGTATGAAGGTGACAAACAGAAAATAAAAACATGGTAACAGTCTTTTACTGCAGAATGAAGTGGTCTCGTGTCTTTCTTCTCTTCCAAGGATCTTAAAGTTTGGCACCGGCCGCAGATGGACTGCTTAGTAGCAGCAGGAGCTGATCTCATTGCTTTTGAGACAGTCCCAAGTATCAAAGAGGCGGAGGCTCTGGTTGAGCTGCTCAGAGAGTTCCCCAACTCTAAAGCCTGGCTCGCCTTTTCTTGTAAGGTAACCACTACTGATGAACTGCATAACAGATGTCGATGCATTGTGCAGTGTACAAAGTGACTCATGCTTTGTACTATATGCTGTCAGGATGGGAAGTGTATATCAGATGGCAGCCTGTTCACTGACGCAGTGCAGATTGCTAATAGATCCCCGCAGCTGGTCGCTGTAGGAGTCAACTGCTGCTCGCCAGTGCTGGTGGCGCCGCTGCTGGACTCTGCCAGGTCACTGCTGAGCCCAGACATGAGCTGGGTGGTGTACCCCAACAGTGGAGAGGAGTGGAACACTAAGCAGGGGTAAGTCAAGTTTTAAGGGTAAAGACACAGCTTCAACAACCACTGTGGCATGTCAAACTCTCCTTTAATAAAATACTATACATCTTTAGCTCATTTATCGTAAGTCACCATTAAAGGAGGGCCAGAAAGACCAGACCCTACTTAAGACCCATCTCTTGTTCAGAAGTGTTGTTCATCTTTCTGTATTTTCCAACTATTTGTGGAAAAGTGTAACTACAGTACATAATATAATGGTCGTTTGGGAGTTTGTAGATGGAAAAGCAACAATTATTTAACTGCTATAGTTACAAGTTACTTTGCAGATTAAGAGAAATAGATATGATTACTTTATATGATACAGTTCTCTCAATTAAATTGCTCACGGTATATAAAGTAGTAAAATCAGCCCCACCTACACCATTTTAAATGCTTCGAGTTAATGATGACCCAATAATATATAACATTATATAATAGTATAATACTTGCATAAGGAGGACTTAACCTTTAAGTACATTTATCTGACAAAAGTGTTGTACTTCTGTACTACTAAGTAAACCTTTGAATGCAGGACTTTTACTTGTAATGGAGTAATATTTAACAGTGTGGTATTGCTACTTTTGTTTGAATACCCCTACTGACTGTTTTCTTTCACCTTACAAAGGTGGCTAACATCAGAGAAAACATCAGCATTAATACCTGAACTCAGCCGTACGTGGATGAAGCAAGGTGCTGCTTTGATAGGTAAGGGGACCTGTTTTCTCCTCCATTAACCGTTGCTGTTTTTCTGTACTTTCTCTGATCAGTCTCTGTTTGTCCATCAGGAGGATGCTGCCGTATCGGCCCCGCTCACATAGCAGAGTTACGACAACAGTTAAAAGGAAGTTGCACTTCTCCAGCCTCTGCAGTGTGACTGAAAATGTAACCGTTTGATTGTTGTGAAGAAAGACGTCTGTTCCAGGAGTTTATAAAAATCTTAATTTATTGTAAAATAAATAAATAAAGCACTACATCAAAGGATACGATGATATTTGTGTGGATCAAGACAAATGGCAAAGGTGCAAACAGAGTAGTGAGAACAAATTGTGGCTGTATATAAACATGAAATCAAACCATGCAGTCTTCACTTTTCGTGGTTTCACATTTTAAACGATTCTGAGGGATTGAGGGATTCCACTATCACTTCTGTACAGCTCCTGTCTCTTAAAAACTGGGATCATCTACGCGACAGTGTCACAGTAGGTTTCACAAAGCACAACAAAATGTCAGCTGCTTTCACAACACTTGAACTGGACAGCATTTCCACTGAACTAACCACTGTACATCAGGCGCAAAACAAGCCTACTTACCTGTACAATGAATTACGGGAGGTGTTTCATCTTTGAACACAATTTACAGCAAAGGTGTGTGTTTTCTCGACAGCACTAGTTGATTATAATGTGCACTCTGCAGTGGGTTTAAGATGAGGTGATATAACTATAATTAAATCAAGAGAAATGTGTATATATGATATGTAGTGTCAAGTCCTAATCTGCCGCTTTTAGTATAACACAGGAATAGACAAAATAACAGAAACACCTTACAATACAGTGGCCGTGAAGTTGTAACCACTCAATAAAGCTCATGTTGCACTTCACTTCTTAAAAAAGCTCATTTTTGAGGCCGTAGTTGGATGTGCTGTTAGGAAAATGCCCTGTGCACTTCATGTCATGACTTTCCCCTTTCATTCACATAACACACTGAACTCTTGTTTGCAACTGATGCATTAGCAACTCAAACAGAAAGTATACTGTATTGAAAACAAAAAAACAGTTTATAGAAAGACCTCTACTGACTGACGCACACTGCTTCCGTTTAATGTGGCTCATTTGTGTAGCTGCCGTTGTTATTGATTTATAGTAGTTGGTGGTGTATCATCTGATGACAGCATAATAAAAAGTTTCAGTCAGCAGACCCTCACGCACACGAACCATAACAGAATACTTGAATGAAAGTATTGGAAACTACAACATGGCCCCAAAAATGACAGTTGAGTTGCATCTGCATCAAACAGTCTTAAAAAACATTCATTCTCCAATATTGAAGTGTAGGTCTAATGATGTTCTATAATTTACTTATGTTCAACCAACCAATCCCATGAAAAGACATCAATGAATTGATCATATTAGCAGGTGTCTTTGTATCCAAAGCCCGATATATCTTATTCCTCTGTGTCACAGAGCTATTGTTTCATAAACTTAAAAACACTCCAGTGAGGCACACTGTTGTACGCAGTTCCTTCATGACAGTAAACATGAGCACTGTAGTTTCAGTTAATCCCACACACACTGTCCCGCTGCCGTAAATACACACTGCTGCACCAAATGTGTATTAATCCACCTGTAAAAATAGTCCCCAACATATATACTATTTACTCCTGTTCAAGTAACATTCGTTAAAAACTACATTGCCCAGCTGTATGCGCCTTTTTTAAAGCAGCTATAATCGCTAATTTCATCAATCACAGTGTATTCAATGACAATGAAAACAACATGGAATGGGGTTGCTTGTAGTGATGAACCTAAAGAGAATTATGATCCATAAAAGCAGTTCTCCTCAGCTTTACAGAGCTTTATAGTGAGTTTCACTAGATACTTTCACTTGCAGGCAGCTGTTTGCAAAAAAACACCTCCAACAGTCCACTGTACGCTACCTGCTCGGCACCAAACTGCAGACAGACACAGTTAGCGACTAGCTGGTGAACATAGAGGAGCATTTAGCAGCTAAAGAGTCAGATATTTCCCTCAGGAGTTGGTGGAGACCAAAACACAGAGCTAAAAGAGAGTGAATATTGGATGCTAATATTGCTTCGTAACTGCTGGATGTTTGATTGTTGTCTAACAAGTTCACTTGTTTACGCTGCCCCCTAGTGACTAAAAACTGTTATTGCAGTATTAACAAATGACCCCTTACCTAAGGGGTTTAGAAAGTACTGAGAGTCTAACACATTTTTTACATCTTTTCATGGGATTTGTTGGCAGTAAAATATAGAAGAACACCAGACGTATCCTTTTAAAATGTATCTTAGGTCTACTGTACTGTATTGTAATGTCTGTTATTTTTGCCCCCCCCTCATTTGTCCCAAAAAACCTTTTCAGTCTGTGATGTCTTCTTCAAGGTCGCTGTCAGGGGAGCTCCTCTGTCTGTACTCTGTAGTGTTAGACTGGCGTTTCCAGCTGGTGTCTTTCTGACTGCCCATACTGTGTGAGCGTCCCAGGTAGGCCAGGCGCTTGGATGACGTCCTGTCCTCCGTTTCGTCTGCGACGCTCCCGTGGGCCCGCTCAGCGCCGGAGTGGTGGAACTCGTGGCGCAGGTTCTCCAGGTTTAGAGCCCAGGGGCCAAGCTTCTGCCAGTTCACCCTCTGGAAGGCCATGATGCAGTGCAGGTTGCCGCCCACCTGTGAGCCAGGGAACGCTCTTTCAGTTAGGCTCTGACCCAGAAAGGTTAACATAATCAGTGGTATTTTAAATAACAGGTGCAAGGAAGGGAACCTTTTTGGTCTTGCGGCGCTGAATCCCCCTCTCAGTGTGACGAATGTCAAGGTATTCTGGATTCTGCGTGTTGAGGTCAGTCACAATGTCCAGCCATCTGAAAAGAGAGGCTTCCTGTTAAACAGCTCAGCTACAGCACATGATCGAATATGGAAGACTGAATAATAAAGCTTACTTTTTACAGTGAATAGCTGGGTGCTTCCTACTGGGCTCACCAATAAGGATCCAGTACTCCATTTCATTTGTGGGTAGAGGGCCCCTTTACACAAAAAAGAACAAAAGTCATCAATTTAAACGATTGAAATTATTCGCCAATTAATAAATTAATAAATCAACAGAAACATAATCAAATATTTTGTTAACTGATCAGTCATTTTAGCCGATTTCAAGCAAAACTGTCTGTTTCTGTTTCTCCATTTTACATCATTGCAATATTGGGATTTTAACTTTTAGTTAATTACATTTACAAACATCACTTTGGACTCAGTTCTTATATTTCATAGACAACACAGAAAATTAACCAGGAAATTACTCGATAATAATCAACTGAAGCTGCAGTAATGCGACCTACCTATATGCCTTTGCTGCTTTGAGTGGCGTGCCTTCAAAGCCCACTGGGCAGAAGTAGTGGTTCTGGCAGTGGTAAATGTAGGCCATAGACTCATCCTTCAGCCCTTGTGTCAGTTTCATCAATGCTCCTTCAGCTAAAAACACCTGAGTGGTTATCACTTCTGTTTGACGTCTCCATGAACAGACATGCAGTTGAGTCTGACAGCTGAGGGACTCACCTGTTTCTCCTGCTGTCTTGTGTTTTCCATGTGGTTTGTACAGAATGTAGGAGCAGCCTCGCACTCGGAAGTTGTCGTTGATTTGTCGGAACCACCTGTAAGAAAAATGGACTGATTACAGAGCTGCATACATTTAGGAGGAAGTGGTTATTTAAACAGAGGCAAGAAGCTGTGTGTACCGCATCAGTGTAGCATTTCCAGTGAAAGGACCGAACTTGATTTCTTCAAATGGCGGCTGAAACCCCAGAATATGCAGAGCCTCCTCCTGAGAGATGGGTGGAAGGCTAGCAAAGCAAATAAATATACACTTAGTCTCAGGAGCTGTATCTCCAGTGAAGTGACAACATTATGCGTCGCTTACCTTCCTGCACCCAGAGTGCTGTACAAGAAATTCCAGCAGGACACCAATGAGGAGATTCCACATGAAGTCTTGTACTGCGGCCGACTGATGCAGTACCTGGAGCAGAAAATAAACCTCAGAATACATTATATTATTGAAAATGTGCTCCTGCTCCCTGATGTGAAGCTTACATCACTGGGTCTGTCTTTAAAACGTTTGAGGCACTAAACATTACCATCTTCTGAGGTCGAGCACTTTTCTCTGTTTGATCTCCTCCAGTGAGGCATGAGAAGGGACGTCTTGAAGATTTCGGCTGGGTCTGTCTGATGACTTCATCTTCTTGGTGCTGCTCTTCTTCACATTGCCTGAAATATTAGTTAACACAATCAAACAGGAGTTCAGCAATCAAATGGGAGATATATGATCAAAACATTTGATGGTATTTAAAACAGGAATAGCAGCTTTGGGTCAATGTAAAATCATTGGCTTCTATAATAATATCGTTCTTACTTGTTCTTGTTTTTCTAGTGAGCACAGCATTGAAGTCTGTGGTATCAATCTCCCAGGCCAAAATAGGCTTACTGTGGCCAGAGGACACTTCCACCATGTCACAGTCCCCATCTGATCCCACATGGGCCTCTCCTGGCTGGCCTGTGCTCAAGTCAGCTGATGATGGCCCATCACCCTGCTTGTTCGGGACCACATCCCTGGCTGTGTTTGGGGGACAGTACACAGAGGCAGCCTGGTTTAGAAGGGCATAATCGGAGCAGACTGTGTAGAACTTCTCACGGGAGTGTGTGACCGGGCAGGTCCACGGCAGATGGAGTTCGGCACTCGAAGCCCTCCTCACTCTGGCAGCGTCCCGGGCGAGGGAGCTGATCAGACTGCGTTCCTCCTCCCCATCGGTGGGCCTGGGCAGCCCCGATGGTTCTGCTGGCCCAGAAAGGTTTGCTCCTTGACCTTCTGATGTATTAGGCATTGAACAGCCACTTATATGATGGAGGGCAGAATTAGCTGAGGCTGGCTGTGTGGGGCTGAAGGGATGGCTGTGGGGCTGGAGGATGAGAGGACAGGCATGTTTTAGAGACACTACACAGATATGAAAGGAAGATGGAGGTGCTGTGATAGAGACCCAGCACTGTGGATCACATAAAACAACCTTTATTCAACGTTATTCAAAGTCACAGCCCTGCATGTCATGGTTTCAACTTCCAGCGACATTAGACAGGATCACACAACATTACCTTACACCTAGAATAAGTCACCTATTATAAAGGACTACAGGGGCTCTTACTGCCCGGCTGTTGGGTTACAGAGCATTAACAGATCACCTGTACAGCCGATGTACGCGGGACGGACACACAGCTCCAGCTATCTGAATCAGTGGTGGACGGTAGTTAGCAGATGTAAACACGCCCAGCTGTTACGTTGTTTTCTTTCAGCATACCTTGTGCAATGTCTTAAGACCAAACGGGACTGGACCTTTGCACAACGTCAAGCTCGCCACACATCAGTAAACCCGGCTCCATATTAGTTTGGGACATGTTAAACATACACGATAATGATTCCGGTCCGTCGTCCTGCTGACCCGTATCTTCTTCCTGTGCAGGGTTGACGGACTGAACCATTGTGAAAAGCAACCGGGGTGTCCAGAAATAAAATAAAGCTAGCGTTAGATAATAACATGAAAACACTCGAGTAAACGATTAAGTTAAATACAGGAGTAGTTTACTTGCATTCACACCCCGCATTATACTACATTATATGAAATATACTTTAAATATACATGGCACTTTCTCAGTGTGTACAACCCGTGTTAATAAATGATGGTGTGATCCTACAGTTCTAACCAATCACAGCAGCGACTGTGGGGATGTTTCAAAGTTTACTTCACAGACTGAAGGTAAGTCTTTCAAATGTCACTTTATAATATCCGATTTCATAAACTGTATCTCCACCCAACGCACTGAGCCGAACTCTTTCCTTTAAAAGCTGTAACAGTAACGGTGTCTGAATTGGACCAAAAAGGCTCCAGTACCCTGACCTCCGTTTAAATAAGGAAACATTTCCAGTGCTGTTTTCCTTCTGTTAGCTAGCTGTGTGTTTACATGGACACCGGCGTTGAGGATCACCTCACCAGCATCAAACTGGACTTTCTAGGGTGGTCCGGGGGTTTGCATCAAAGCGTCAAAGTAAAGTTATTTTTAGGTAAAGTAAAGTAAAGTAAAGGGAGAAAACACTGTGGTCTAACGTTAACCTCCAGGAAGGAAGTGCGCCTGTATTTGGAGCCAATTGAACCGGGTCTGCCACGGTGCAGTCGGGTTTTTTTGTTTGTTTGTTCATGAAATGACTCATTTCATCATCAGAATTTGATCTGTTCGGTCCAATAACAATTTGAAAGTCTAGAAGAGCCTCACGATTAAATATGTTTACCTCTATTATAGTTAGCAGAGGGCTAAACTTTATGTAATAAAATAGAAGATCAACTTTATTTTAATGGTATTTATCATTTTTCCAATAAGAGTTTCACTGCACTGATACTTTTCATCACAGTATGTTACAGTTCAACATGCAACACTTTACTGAAACACAAGGTGTCATTAACAGGGACTTTACTACTATCTTTTCATTTGATAGACACCTGCCACTGAAATAATAATGAAAGGGTGAAAATGGTGGTTGCTGCAGATACCTCACCTTTGAGGTTATGCATTAATAAAGTTGTATGAAACTTAAAGAAAACCTTTGAAAGACTGCAGTGTCATTTTGGAAATGTGGATTTGAATACACTGACTTTACAGGAAGCCATGGTAAAGAAGCTGGTGATCATCGACACAGACTGCGGCATAGACGATGCTCAGGCTATAATGATGGCCCTGGCAGCACCCAACATTGAGGTCTTGGCTGTTACCTGTGTGTTTGGGAACGCAGCGGTTGAGAAAGTGTGTCAAAACGTTCTGAGGGTGCTCTCCGTCTGTAAGTGTAAGGGGGTAAGTTCACTGAAGCTCATATGACCTGATCTGCCATGGTGAGGGTTTAGTTAGGTTTAGGCCACCGTAGTTTCCTCTACAGTTTGCCCAGTTTGTTGCAATCTGCAATCTGCAACTTTTCATAACATGAAAAATCACTTTTATCAATAGTCAAAGTCTGTATGTTACAAATATGAGGATAAATACTAAAATGGTGTTTATTATATTATTATTCTTATTATTCTTATTATTATTCTTATTATTATTATTAATAAATATTTTTTCAAATTCCAACACTCCATATGTGTGCATGATGTTAACTTGTTATGAGTTAATGGGTATCAGATACTTGTTGGTGCTCTTTGTAGTCTCTGAGACACAGACAATTTCTTATCATACTTATAAACAATAAAAATTGAGGGATCTTTTTATTATTTTCAGTACACACATGTGACAGGCTCCTATGTATATATTCCATATGAATAAAAGTTGCACACAACTATTATTAGTCATACAGCAGGTGAAAACATTTGCTAGAGGGGCCATTCTTTATTTGTTTCAATGGGTTTTAATCCCCTTGGAAACTAATGGAGGAAGTGGGTCCGTTTACTTCTGTTAGACCTCAGATCTTGCTTCTTTTAAATAACTTCTAATTCTCAAATACACAGTACACAGTACTTCACACACACTATCTAAACTCTCTAATCTCTAACCATTATTTCATACTTGCCTCCGTTTTTCTGCAGATTCCGGTGTTCCGAGGTTCTGGCGGTCCTCTAGTTGGAGCCAGTAAACCAGTGAGTGACCACTTTGGAACTGATGGACTTGGGGATGTGATTGAGGAAAAAGATCCAAACTGGGAGGAGAAAATCCAGAGAGAGCACGCGGTCAGTGCAATGATTAGGCTGGTGACTGAAAACCAGAAGCAGGTAATAAAACCTCTCTGTGCGCTGCCCGTAATGTGCTGCTGCTCTCTCGTGTGGTTCTACTAAAATGTGCTTCCCTCAGGTCTCCCTGGTGGCCATTGGCCCACTCACCAATCTAGCACTGGCTGTCAGACTGGATCCGTGTTTTCCCCAAAAGCTCAAAGATCTGTACATTATGGGTGGCAACATGGAAGGTAAAACCACCACATGAGTGCAGCGTTTGTTCTTGAAACATGTAGGCTCCTTTAACTCGATTCTCCCTTTGTAGGAAAAGGAAATGTGACACTATGTGCAGAGTTCAACTTTGCAATGGATCCAGAGTCTGCCTATGTTGTTCTTGAAGAATTTCTCTGCCCTACATACCTGGCATCATGGGAATATTCATGCAGAAACGCACTGACTTGGGTAAGATGCTCGTTAAGAATCACATATAACCCCGCACTACTGTTCAGTTTCACGCTGATTTCACTGATTTCACTTGTGCAGGAGTTCTTTGAAGAGTTGATCAATCAGGACACACCGGCCGCACGCTTTATGAAGAGGATAACCTCTAAATGCTGGGCTTACTCCAAAGAGGCAATGATGAATAAGAGGGACCTGTACTTTGGACCTGGCTTCGTCTCTTACGATGCCTACGCGATGGCGGCCTGTATTGACAGCAGCATTGTAACGGAGAGAATCGAGTGTCCCGTCCGTGTGGAGCTGCAGGGTTCGATCGCTAGAGGCATGATGGGGCTGGATCGCACAAATATGCTGAAGAAGAGCCACAGCGTGTGTGTTCTGACCAAATGTGACGTTGCCAAGTTTCGTAAGTTACTCATGAAGTCTGTAAGACAACCTAAAAAGAAGTAATTGTTGGTGACGGACGTCTCGGTAAGAAGAAAAAAAGACACTGTATCACCCTGAATATCATTAAATAGAAAATAATTTTATTTTTTTAATGCACTGTATGAAAATGTTGACAAATAGTAGTAGTTAGTATTCTTTGACCAATTTATTCTCACAAAAGGCTCTGATATATTTCATCAAATGTTCATGTTTGTGTTAACTGTGCCATAATTAAATGAAAAACATAAAGGGACAATTATTGAACAAGATTTTCCATTTTGACAAGTCACATCGAAAATTAAACAACAACATCAAATCAAAGTGGAGAAGCATATTGGATTATAGAGCAGCACAGACCTGCCAATACTAAATGCAAAGTACGGTCAGAAGTTCTCATTAAGGAGCTGCAGGGGAGGTTTTCTTTCAACTGGAAAACATCATCCATGTCAAAAAGAACAAGACAAGGTTGAAACCTCGTGTAAAGCTGGTCTGCATATAGTCAATGTGCTGTATTGTGGTCAAACTGTCAGTGCGGGTGTCTATAATTTGGCAGAACATTTTATCAGGGCAGTAGTAAGAAAAATACTTCCAACTCATTCTTATGTTTGATTTGAAAGCACTTGATCTAATCATGATTACTATTCTTCAAAAAATCCAAATTGATTTCCAAACGGAATCTTGAGGCCGATATGAGACACAGGACCAGGATCAAGATCAATAATAGACAGCGAGAGCAATGAAAAAGAGGCTCTCTGCAAAGTCACACAGCTGGAGGAAGTCAAGACTTCCCTGACCCATCAGAGGTAAGAACACTCCAACTGAAAATCGCCCTCCTCAGGAGTCAGCACTTTTCACGATGAGTAGATAAATTCTTTCAACAATGTTATAAAACGCTTGTGTTTTTTAGTGAAACAGACTTTCTTCCACAAATCCAACAGGGTTCATCCTCAACATCTGTGTGTACACACAACGTGTAGATCCTGAATGAATGTTTTGCAAATTTCTACTTTCTGTGTTCTTTTAATAAATAAGGCCAGTCTGTAGAGGCATTAAACATGCACAATGTAATTTATCCCACTAGGGGGTCTTTCACATCAAAACAACAATAAAAGACTAAATCTGATGGCGTTGTGAAGTAGCGTGGGATCATGGGAGTTTCAGGAGGCTTTTACCGGGAATCAAATCATCCACAGAGGTCTCCTCTCCAAAAGAATAAGAATAAATCAGTTTTGTGTTGTGTGATGTCCCAGAGGGCCTGCGGAAGTGAGCTCAGCTTGTTTCTCTGATAACTTAAGATCCAGATGTTCCAGAGGTTTGGAGCCAGATTATCTCTCCAAAACAACAACAACATGTTGATTAAAACATTTTCACCTTCCATCCTCGGTCATACTGTAGCCCTATTTAACATATGCAATGTAACATTTTACAAAAGAAATCTATTTCTTTATGTTTGTAGAATTGATGATCCACTCAGCTGGTGTCTGTAGTGTAGCTGCTGTTAGCATCCTGCTGTACCGGGGATTGATGGACTTGTTGCTAAAAGAAGCTAACTGTGCTGTTGGGAGCCAAAAACAGCAATAAAAACACTTTTTTTCTTTATTCCCTGTCGTCAAACTGGTGGGTTTGGTCAACTACTGTTAGCTGCACAGCGAAGTAGCTAACAACATCCAACATTACCCTGGCAATCTTTTGGTAAGTCCGTGTGGAAACTACAGATGCTCTCGGTACCGCTGCTGTCAGACCGGCCTCCTGCTGTTAGCTGCATGCTAACAGCAACTAACAGCAGCTGTTTTACACAAAGAACAAATTATTGGATTTTGAAAAAAAAAAAAAGAAACAGATTTTTATACTTTTTTGGCACATGTTAAATACAGGTACAATACAATATATATATTTACTGTCACCACAGAGGTTATCTTGACCTTAAACAAGCCCACAGTCTGACCATGGCCCCGCCCCCTGGCTGTGATTGGACAGCTGATTGTTTTTCTTGTCACATGAGTGCGGTATTCGCAGGTTGATCGCTGCTGGACTAAACTCAGATGCAATACACCACTTTGTTTTGTGTGTTGTGACTTTTAAAATGTATGTCACATAAAGTGAATTATCACAGTGAATCATAACACAGTCACTACAAATTAGGAAATACTACAAACAACTTTGTTTCCTTCATGTTGTTCTCTGAGGAACAGATTCCTCTTTAGCAGCTCTTTAAATAAACTGGAGGGACCTCCCCACCTGCTCCTCTGCCACCCCTCTCATCCTACCCCCCAACCACACTCCCAGCACCCCTACTACCCCCCATTATTCCAATTTAATATTTCCAGTGACACCCAAATGTCATATAAGGCAGCATGGTGGTGGAGTGACAAAATATCTAAAAAAAATATACATAAACTGTACTTAAATTGTTTTGTGTTTGTAAGAGTTCAAAGTTACACTACACTGAACATGCTGTATATTCACAGAAAATCAGTACTAAAGGGAGTTGAACACAAACCCATTCCAAATAACCTTCCTCTTCATCTGCTGGATGTGTAAATAAGCCAATGCTTGCCATAAAGTTGGGTTGTGTTCACGTGTTTCTGCTGCCCTCAAGTGGCCAAAAACAAGATTGCAGGTTTGAATGAAATAAAATAACAGGAAAAACGGTTTTTGCTTAAGTCCTTTATTTAAATTTGCTGACAAAGTGAGGCGATGTACAACAGAAACCTCTTAACTTAACTTTAATCACTCGACCAATTTACTCTCACAGAAGTCTTTGATATTTTAGGGCAGAGGCCGCTTTAACGTGAGTTCCTGGGCCGTTGGTGTTCTGAAGAATCACATTTCAGATTATGAAAGATCTCTGCTGCCAAATAAGAGCTTAGTTTGATTTAAATGCAAATTTAACTTTTCAAACCAACTTTTATGAGAAACCAATGAGAACCAAAATAATTGTGAAAACACATGGCTTAAAATAAGATAACATTAATACTGAACTTTATTGGTTCTGTGCCATGTACCAAACTGAGAAGGAATGCAGCATTACCAGCCTTTCTATAACAGCAAAATGTATGCAATGGCATCAGCATACCATGCTATCAATATTTTTAATTTAGGGGCACCTGTTAAAACAAATCCAAATAAAAAGCATTTCTGCCCCCATGAATAAAAAGCTGCAGAGAACTAAATTGCGGGGTTGGCAACCTACAGCACTGGGCTACCAAACGCATGACACTTCAGGTAACATTGCTTTCTGTTGGGATTCTCTGATTATAAAAGATTTGATTTTGCGTACAGAGTACATCAAATCCATGACGTGCTTCTTTTAAGTGCAGTCACGCTCTGTTTAATTGCCGTTGTCAGAGGAACTAGGCCAGGGCTCAGAGCTGCGCCGGCTCAGGGTGGGGCGCCACATGCTCCACGGGTTGTAGGTGCGACTCATCTCGGTGGGAGCTGGCGGCGACGGAGTCGGACTGCTGACCAGATCAGTCAGAGTTGTTGAGTTGGTCGTAGGAGGAAAAGGGTGCAAGGCTGAATCTGCACTTGTTGACCAAATGGAGCTGCTGAAAGGTGTGGTTGCAGACCAGGGATTGCGGGTGTTTCCCAGGAGTGACTATAAAAAGAATATATATATATAGAAGCTTCACGATAGTATCATAGCAGTAGGAAGAGTATGTGTGAGCTGCATTAAAAACAAATAATGGATCTTACTGCAGTTGGGGCAGTTGGTGAGCTGGAGCTGCTGGGCCAGGAGTGCAGAGAGTCATTGCTTGGTATGTCCCAGATGGAGGAGGGTACAGGGGTGAACTCAGGCCAGCTCTGCTGAGGCTCCAACGTCTTTGGGAGATTCATTCCACTGAAAACTAAAACAACACACACACACACACACACACACACACACACACACACACAGACAGACAGACACACAGACTTCAGTTTGAATGCAGCCAGTCAACCATTAACAGTGACACCTATTACTCCACATTCTTCTGTTTGTTCATAAACCCGTGATTACCTCCTGTCAGGTTGAAGGGATTGTTGGTTCCAAAAGCTGAGAACGAGTTGGTAGAATGAAAGTTTGGACTACTGGCTGTGTCCATAGGACTCCATAATCCAGAGCTGTGGGAGAGGAAAATATATACACAACATTAAATTGGGATGTCATGTCCAGATGTAAATACATTGTGTCATTTTCTCACATTACCTGTCCGAGCTGTCACTTTCCACTGATGTCATGTGTGCCAGACTCTTTCCTTGGCTGTCAGTTTTACCTGGGCCAGAGCCACCTGACGGGTACGTAAAATGTAAGTGTTCTCTCGTATAAACAGCCACCACATGAACAATGTACAGACAATAACATTAAGTACTTATTTACCTGGGCTTTTGTCATAACCAGCAGCTACAGCAGCAAATGTGGGGGTCCCATTTTTGCCAGGGAGCGGAGTGGCTGGAGACAGTTTATTTCCTGGGGCCTTCTTTTGGTTTCCCTCACTGCAAAAATGAGACAAAAAATCACCAGGACTCTGGATTAGTTTTAGTTAGAATAAAACTACAGTGTAGCAAAATAGCATGCTTTACTATAATAATATATATTACAATAAACTTTATTTATAAATAACTTTTCAATAAGTTACAAGGTGCTTTACTTGGGAAAATCAAGATTACCAATTCAGAACTTTTAAATTAAAGGACCAGTGTGTACAACTAGTGGCATCTAGGTGTGTGGCAGATTGCAACTCCCTCGCTTTATCCTCTCCTTCCAAACACAAAGGAGAAACTATGGTGGCCACAGAACAAGATAAATGCAACCGGCCCTATCTACAGCCAGTGTTGGGGCTGTTCTGGGCTACTGTAGAAACATGGCGGACTCTGTGGAAGGCGACCCGCGGTCTCTGTAGATATAAAATACTCATTCGAAGGTAATAAGAGAACATTTCGGTGCCTGACTTTTTTTTTTTTTTTACCGCCCTCCGGTGTTCCGGTGTCAACTTGCGTGACGTCAGTGCCGTTACTCAGCACACTTGTTGATCAGAACTGATAGTGAGAGGATCAATGAAGATGCCGAAGGCAAAACGCTCCAAGGTTTGGCTGCATTTCACGTCTAAGGATGCAGACTCAGCGACATGCAACAGATGCCATAAAACAATTGCATGCAAGGGAGGTAACACGTCGAATTTGATGACACATCTGGCGACACGTGGTGTTTATTTAAAGCCCAACAACGCACCGTGTTTTATAACCTACGTGACGCAAGGCCAAGCACTTCAGCAGCCGCAGCCAGTGTCGGCCTCACCGGACAAATTGAAGAGACTCCCAGCCCTGCCAGTGTGGTGGTGGACATCACAGATGATGATGATGATGATGATGACAGCAGCCTTTCCTCTTCGGGTAAATCTAGTAATTTAATGCCAACCGCAAATCATGCATGTCAAGTAGGCTAGCAAACACTGTTGCCATTCAACAGCGTGAGTGACAACGTGTGCTATGTCGTTAACTTAATATTGTGTTCAATTTGGCCCTGGAAATAAAAGGGTATTGTTTTTTGACAAAGTGTGTGTGGTTTCGTTTTTTTAAGTACCGATTCAAGAACCGTTTAAGCACCGGAACCGAGTAGGCACCGGTATCGGATAAAAACCCAACCGATACCCAACCCTACTAATAATAAACATGCCTATATTCAGTTTCTTCCAGTAGTGCCTCCTAACAAACTGGATCTTTAAATGAAATCAAACCACTAAAACTGCAGAATACAGAGCAGAAAAAAATGCTCCTCAGTTGGATGTTTGTGCCTGGAAGAGGTCTGTCAGAAACTAGCCCTCAGTTTCTAGCTGCCAATTTGATATTTATTTCTGATTCCTTTTTATTTAGCTAGAAAAAGATTTGGGACATCTAGCACTTGATTTCTAAGTAATGTAGGTTGTCTTCTTTGCTGTTTTTAACCGGTTTACCAGGTTTGTAACAGGCCCTGTTTACACCTGGTATTAATGTGTATTTTGGGTAATCCGTTCACAAGTGGACAGCTCTAAGCACAAGGTGTGAATGCATCCAAGGCGCATTGAGGATGCACTCAGATCCGATTGCTCAGACCATTTGGAGGTGGTCAGAGCCACATATGCCCACATTGTTTTAGCAATGTGT